GTACTTCTCGAGTATCTCTTTGACGGCGTGAGCGGCTGTGTCTCGATCTGACAGTAGGATTGTCTTGTATGGCACGTCTTGGTTAATGGATTCGCCGAATATTCTCAGAGTTCCGCCTAAAACACGCGACAAATCAAAAGAGACATTTAAGCGCAACTTTTTTCGCGCAACACAATAGCATAGGACTGGTATGACATGACATGTACTGACCGGCTTCGACACCTCCTTCTTGACTGAATTGCTGTAACTTCTTCTCGAGTTTCTGTTGTCTGCGGCGACGCATCACTGCCTCGGGATTAGATATGGATCGCGTGAAACTCGTTTCGGGTAACTCTGTGTACAGCTTCTCGGCTAACGAGTCCTTCCCGTCGCCACCCTTTCCGTCGTTCGCTTTGGCTTTCAGTTGCTTTTCGCGCTTTTTCTGCTCCTTTTTCTCGCGTTTCGAAAGCTTTCGTTTGAATTTATTTTCATCGGTCGTCGACTCAAAGCCCGGTAACTGAATAACAGATCATTTCATTGTATTTCTCAACATTTTTTCAACACACAATACAGTTAATCAAATGCTACACAAATTCAAGACAACTAATCTCTGGCAAAACTAGAGACACATTTGTGTTCAACAAATCAGTTTCTGTTTCAGAGTACGAGTGAATAGTAAAGACAAATAAACAGAAACATAAAATTCACGTTTAATAATGGTTTTCGGAGTTATATTTATAGACAAATGTTTATATAAAGCAGTCGTTAAAAGACAAAAAGCGCCAAACGCAGCGCCGGCTCTGACTGACGCGATGGCGGATAACCTGACGGCCCGTACCGGTAGCTGACAGTTGGCGGCGGTTGGCTCGGCTGCTGGTGAGGTATGGCTTCGTGTGGTTCGCGATACGAGTTTCGGGAATACGAGTTTTGGCCGTAATTGGACAACAGTTGGGCGGCCGATGGCTTGGGCTTAGGGGCCGGTTGTGGAGGCGGCGCCATTCGCATGTGTGGTCCGCCGTTCATTGGCATCTGTTGTTGCGAAGGCGGATAGTATGGCGGGCGTTGAGCCCACGGCCCGTTGGCGGGCGCCCCGCGGAGCAGTGAATTCATTTGCGGTCCTCCGCCGCCCGATAACATTCTCTCCCTGTCTTCGCGGCGCTTCACCTCTTCCCTCATCTCATCCATCTTCGCCTCCTGTCTCATCAGATCCCTCGGATGTCTCGAATCGATGTATGGCGGGTGCGGTGGCGGGTAATTACGCGACGGGTAATCCATCATGTTTTGCGAGTCCGAGTAGTCCTGCGATGATTGACGCGTCAGTATAGGACCGCTCGTGTATTGTTGCGGGTAATGGAACTGATCGGGAGCTGACATCATATTGGGATTCATACTAATCGGTGGTCGCGGCGATGTGGGAGTGCCCGGACTGTTGGCCATTTGGCCCATGTATTGGTCGGGCTCTCGGTTGGCGATAAGAGCCGACACTGGTCTCGAGTTTTGCTGCGGGTTATAGTGTTGCTGACCATCGGCTTGAAGCGATGAGTGGGAGCTATGAATGGGTGGTCGTTGTGGCACTGAATTGGGCGACGGTTTTGGCTGTATTTGATATAACTGTATGTTCTGGTAGTGACGCTCTTCGGGATATAATTGTTGCGATTGCGACGAAGACATCCTGACGACCCTCACCTGTGACTCGACGCTTAGCCCAGCCCTCCCCGATATCAACCGCTAGCACAACATCAACGGCCCGTAGTACACTACGCGGCTTATCAACGCGCATAACAAGTACCCAACCGGCCGCTTATAGTCTGGACCGGACTTTGGCATTGAGTTGTATTGTTGCGGATACGGCTGCTGTCCAGGCATTTCATTTGGCCGTCGCTGGGATTGGAGTACGGAAGGGGGCGGAGGAACGCCGCCATTCATCTGCTGTGGCGTGGGTTGGTTCGGGTCAACCAGTGTTGGCACACTCTTAGAGCCCTGGATTCGGGGCTGTTGTTGGTGTTGGAGCTGTTGGGCGGAGGCGTTCATGTGGTTCCTGTGGGCCCGCATCTGGAGCTCCTGTTCGTGATTCACTCGACTCGGAATATCTCTTTCGCTCATTCGTCGCGGGTTTCCATAGCCTGAAGGCGTCGATGAAAACAAAAAACATTAGTTTGTTTTGTAGTGAAATAATTGTGCGCTAATAGTGTGTGCGAAACGAAAACAGTAATAAACAGCAAAAAACGGAATAAATGTGAAAATAATTAAATTATCAAAAAACTATAAATCAGACAACAGTTAGAAAAAACGCAACGAATCACAAGTCATGCAAACAGAGAAAAACGTTGTGTGAAACTGCTTTTGGGGTTCAAAAGCGCGTATAACTAATGGTTAACCAACAAAACGATTGTAATCTCGTTTTAAAACGAAAGAAACAAATGAATTTAATTTGTTGTACAAATAATGGGGTAATAAAAAAGTAATTTAACAAAAAACATAATCACAACCAAAACGATCGAAACAACCGATAAGATTATAAGAAAGATATATAACTTATATAATACAAGATATAATTTACAAATACCAGTACTATTGACGGCATTAGTGGCGCTATTATTAGCGATTGAATTACTGTTTGTTTGGGATCTGTTAGAAGCGGTGGCAAAAGACACGGAAGAGCTATTAGAGGATAGACAGGAGAGACAGTTGCACTTTGCGAGCGATATTTGATTGATCGCCGATTGAATTAATTGCTTAGAAAATATTTCACTTGATTTGAGTTTCAGTGAATTGGCATAATATTTGGTGATTTGTTGGCAAATAATACAGTTATTGAATATATCGTTACAAACGGTGCAATTGCTGAGACAGGAACAGATGCTATTGGGGTTAGAATTCAACGATTCATCGCTTTTGCATTTCAACAACACGTTTGCCATCGGTTTTGATACACCACTACTGGTCATAGACCTCGGCATCAATTGCTGCTGACTATCACACAAATAATTAGTCTTCTCTTCCTTCTGGTTGTCATTTATAATGTTTGTCAGATTCAAAGACTTTGACTGACGAACCGCTGGCCTCTTGTTATGCGCGGCGTTTGTCTGCGATTTGAGTCGGAATTGAAGTATTTTTTGAGAAAATAAAGCACTTTTCAGATACGCTAATGGATTCGATGTGGAGTTTGTCTTCTTCGGGTTCGGGCACTCATTGGTAGCCTTTTGCTTACCTTTGATCGCCTGTCGGTCTAATGTCTGAACGGCTTCCCATTGGTTGGGCGATATATTTTTGACGGCGTTATCGTTGGCCAACATATCTCTCACTTCGCAATCAAATATATTGTCCGCACAGATAGTTGTGTCGGAATTGAACACAGAGTTGTCGAAGCAATTAATTTGTGTATTGAGTGAATCAAAACTCGCAGAGCTTTTCAGTTTGCTCTCGACATACAATTCATTACAATTAATCAAACAGTCATTAAGAAGATGTGTTTGAGATAATGGAGTCGAAGACACTAATCCATTATATGTGAGGCGACAGAGAGAGAGTCAATGAAAGGGTTGTGAGAGTGAGAGAGTGAGTGAGAAGAAGAAAACAAGAGTTGTTATATTGATAATGGATGGCAATAATAGATAAGTTATTCAATTAAAAAACAATTCAATGAACGAAAACTAAGCAATAAATTCAAACAACAAAACAACACCACATTATATATCGAGGAATGTATGGAAAAGCAAAACTAATCAAATGATCTGAAGATTAGTGAATATTATCGAAAAAACGTGACCAAAAGGAAAAGAAAATGCCAACAAAATTAAACGAGGAGTCAATTGATTGGCACAGGAGTGTAATGTTGAGGGCATAGAGAGTGTGAATCACTATATGAATGGCATACCTCTGGATATGGATGGCGAGGGTTGTGTTAGAATGTGTGACAGTCCGTGATATATGGCCGCCTGTTTGGCGACTTCAAGCGTTACGATTGGTCCCGTTTGGATCATTAATTCAGCCGCACGTTCTTGAGTTATGCCTATCAGTGAATGGCCGTCTACTCGAAGCAATTGATCGCCAGCTGTAAGCCTTCCATCCTTTACAACACATTAAAAACCCATTTTCATTACATTTCACTTTTTTGGTACAAATACTTTCTCAATTGAAAAGCACTTCTGAATAATTCATTAATTTAGTGCTAATCTTTCAAAATTAAAGTCAAAAAAAATTATCGATCGCTTACCGCGTCAGCCGCTCCTCCCTTTACAACTGATTTGATGTAAATGCCGAGCCGTTCCTGAGTGGCCCCTCTCGTGGCCACAATACTCAGACCCATTCCGTTGTTACTCTTTTGGAGTTTCAATAGTTGCACTTCGGGCTCATTGAAAGTAGATGCCGTCGATCCGCGCGCAGACGGCGGAAGCATTTGCTGCTGCAGTTGTGGCTGAGACTGTGTGGGCACAGACGGTAGTGGCTGTTGTTGTTGTGTCTGCGGTTGTGTCATAAGAAGCGACGAAGTCATAGAAATGGGCGGTTGAGAAGTCTGTGGCGGCGGTTGACTGTCAGTAGCTGTGGGTTCGTGTCCAGTGTTTGAATGCATATCTTTGGGCATTTTGGGGCTGTTTTGCGAGGATTGCATATATATAGTCCAATCGCCTGAAGAGGTCGGTTGGATAGTGAGGTGACACAAACCCGATTGAGTCATTGGCTGCACGAACTCTATTAGACCGGAAGGAATGCCCGAAACTATTTCACACGAATATCCGTCTTCGGGCAACAGGAATGGCAACTGCAGGTCGGGCTCCTCTTCGAGCCGAATGTCGCGTCCGTCAGTTCTGGCCATTTCGTCGGCAGTGTTTTCCGCCACTTTCACCACCGCTTCGATGAGTTCGCGGGGAATCGGCGTCTCATTGACTGCCGGTTCGTATCGCTCGAGGATTTGTCTCATTTGCAGTGAATTCAATTTCGAGCACTTTTCAGATATATTGCTGATGTCTTCGGGCGTGCCTTTCGGCGAGTGAAGCAAATGCGCGGTTTGGACGATACAATTCAGATGACAATCGGCCGCCAACTCGAGTCCCTGTTTCTCAGCCCACACTCTCATCTGCACGAGACGTTTCTTAAGCCTAAGACCCCAAACACGGGTGCAATAGTTGACGGGCGAGTCGGCGACACAACCGATCACTTTGTTGAATAACCACATATTAATGAAGTGGAAGAGTTGCGAAAAGAGTTGTATAGTCAGCGCGGCGTTCACTCGACACCGACGAAGCAAACCCATGGCGTTGGATAACACTATGAGTAACTTAGATGTGGTGACCGACACGTTATCATCCATACTGTCCTCACAGTCTTCGAGTATTGCGGGCAAAGCGTTGTGGAGTTCGCTGTGTTCGCACATCACGAGACTTCTGAAGGCCAACTGCACCGCTTCGGCCAACAAGTCCTGGGCGTCGTATGTGAACGGACTTAAGTGTATGTCCTGTTTGAGAAAGTGCAACAACTCAGACGAGTTGCCCAACCAGAAGGCCAGGTGCGAGGGCTCGCGGTAATGATCATCGATCACTTGATGGATAATACTCGACACTTTGTTGGCAAACTCTGTCAATCGATGCGCCCTTTCGTTGGGCACTATCTCTGGCTTGAAGTGTGTCGACGCTCTGAATCGGAATCCCATATAGACTGCAGAGAATTAATTATAAACACAAACAAAATATTTAATACTGTATTTGAATAAACAATTGAAAACTTTCTCTAAAAGCAAACAAATGTGATATTAATTTGCATAAAACAATATTTATATAGCAAAATGCATGACTCACTCGTATAAGTGACGGCCAGTTTAAACTGTACTCCATTGGGATCAATATGATTGATAATTTGATTAAGAAATGCGTCCTCTCGTTCTTCCCAGAGCTCCAGAATGGCGGGCAGTATAGGATCGGAACCCTTTCGCACAGCATTATTGCCATTATTATGAATGTGTTGTTGACTATTATCTCGATTTATAGGTCCATTTCCAGTCATTTGTCGCGGATTCGAGCCATTCGTTTCGTCCGATTTCTTCGACATACGTTCATCTCTGGAGGTCATGGAAGTGGTCTCCACATTGCCGTCGGCGTCAAACGTGGTCTCATAGCTGCCCCGCGATTGCGGCGCCGATAACCTGATATCGTCGGGCATTTTTCGTAGACTACTGTGAACTGTACCCCTCATAAGGGTGGGCGAGAGTTGTCGCGACTGATCGTCCAACGGGTCAATGAACTTAAAGGTGTGAATTTTGCCGAAACGGACGAGCATTCCGTGTCTCAAAATTGTCGTCTCGTAGATACGAAGTCCGTTAACGTAAGTCTCGGCGTCACGACTGCTGGGCGTAACGGTAACGATGCCTTCGGTGTGCGCTATCACGCAATGTCTCGCCTGAACGTTAGGGCCGTATAATTGCAACGATTGGCTGTGATTTGTGGCACTCGACCGCTCGGAACCCACTTCTGTCATATTGACGTACAGGTAATGCTTTTTAGGCAATCCTCGCGTGATTTCACTGCCGTCGGGATTCGTTTCGGACAGAAATGGCAGCCTTTCGAGCGCCTCATCGTATTTGGTATATCCGGCATCCATTTCGCCCTTTATTTGTTTGGGTTTCTTCTTCTTCTTCCGCGGCTGATAGTCAGACGGACGCCGACGGATGTGAAACGTTAGGACACCTCTGGACTTGTTGTGCGCCTTCTCTATGGAAAGCGGACAGTCGTCGTCATCTAAGATATACTCCCGAATTCCGGCCGAATTGTGCAAATCGTTGATTGTATTGATGTCTCCGTTAGCGACGGGAACAATGAGTTGTACGAGACAGTAGACCACTGGGTCCTCCTTCTCTTTGCCGTACTTCTCGAGTATCTCTTTGACGGCGTGAGCGGCTGTGTCTCGATCTGACAGTAGGATTGTCTTGTATGGCACGTCTTGGTTAATGGATTCGCCGAATATTCTCAGAGTTCCGCCTAAAACACGCAACAAATCAAAAGAGACATTTGAGCGCAACTTTTTTCGCGCAACACAATAGCATAGGAGGACTGGTAATGACATGACATGTACTGACCGGCTTCGACGCCTCCTTCTTGACTGAATTGCTGTAACTTCTTCTCGAGTTTCTGTTGTCTGCGGCGACGCATCACTGCCTCGGGATTAGATATGGATCGCGTGAAACTCGTTTCGGGTAACTCCGTGTACAGCTTCTCGGCTAACGAGTCCTTCCCGTCGCCACCCTTTCCGTCGTTCGCTTTGGCTTTCAATTGCTTTTCGCGCTTTTTCTGCTCCTTTTTCTCCCGTTTCGAAAGCTTTCGTTTGAATTTATTTTCATCGGTCGTCGACTCAAAGCCCGGTAACTGAATAACAGATCATTTCATTGTATTTTTCAACATTTCTCAACACATAATACAGTTAATCAAATGCTACACAATTCAAGACAACTAATCTCTGGCAAAACTAGAGACACATTTGTGTTCAACAAATCAGTTTCTGTGTTAGAGTACGAGTGAATAGTAAAGACAAATAAACAGAAACATAAAATTCACGTTTAATAATGGTTTTCGGAGTTATATTTATAGACAAATGTTTATATAAAGCAGTCGTTAAAAGACAAAAAGCGCCAAAACTTGTGGCAAAAATTTGAGATCAAAGTTCGTTAAGTGTTTTTAGCATAAATTATTACTGTTTTGAAAAGGACTAACAGTTATAACAGCGCTGTGAGGGTAAAGTGCGAAAGGGATGCAGGATATACCAAATACGATGAGGCGCTCGAAAGGCTGCCATTTCTGTCCGAAACGAATCCCGACGGCAGTGAAATCACGCGAGGAAGTGTAAAGATTTTAAGTTGCTTAGAGAGAGAGAGAGAGAGAGCTGTTAGAGGAGATGGAGGAAGAGGTTGGTTAAGTTTATGGGTTTGGAAGTGTTGTGTAAAATATGTAAAGCTCTGCTCATGACTTACATGTGTCTTATCATTCATGCGGCGCAATAGGAAGCGGCCCTCGCGGTCGTCTCTGTGCCAATTGAGTTGCACCAAAAGTGGCATTTCTTCTTCCGATAACTTTCGCTCTTCTATTCAATTCAATCAAAACAATAATTTGAGTAAATGTTGTCATAAAATATGTTTTTCAACACAAGAAACAACAAAAATCTTGAATTTCAAAACTCTTGAAAAAAGAGACAGAAAAAGATGTCTAAAAGAGACAGACAGTACTACACGTGTGCACTACATACTGTCACAATAGTATTGAGTTTTTATATCAATTATAACCATAAATACCTCCGTTTTCGTGGATCTCATACAAAGCGTATTCGGGAACCGATAGCATACGGATATCGGGACGGAATTTCTCAATCAATATATTGATCACGTCTTGAGTGGTGGCCGTAGACGACACTCGTATGCATTTTGTGGCCACTTTCGCACCCGAGTCCTGGAAGTAGTATCGCATAACTCCATGAAATTCCAGCGCCTGTCAAACGAGACAATCATATTATTCATTAAATTAAATCATCGGTTATTCGCAGCCATAGGCAGAGAGGGCTGAGGGAGCGATGGGAGGAGAGCTGTGGGAGAGCTATGGGAGAGTGCTGTGGGAGGGAGAGCTGTGGATTGCACTTTGCATAGCAATGGATGATAATGTTTGGCACATCTCATACCTGGTTGGGTTGGCTGATCTCAAACAGATCCAAGCGATTGGCATTCCATTGGGCGATGATATTGCTGAGGGTCTCCCTCTCCTGTCCAACACTAGTGGCTGTCTTCGTGTTATCCATGGCTTCTTCGACGGTATGTGTTGTTGCACTCAATGCCACACAACTTGTTGTTCACATATTATTGTGCACTTGTTTTCACATAGAGTTTGCATTCAAAAACACTTAAATCCCAATAAAAGTGGTCATAAAGTGGTCATCGCTGGCCTCTGACCGCAATGGTTGGATCAGTTATGGACGAAATGAGTTGACAATCACTTGAATACAAATGTTTGACCACTTTATCCAATGTAAAACAACTTAATGCTAACAATTCACTTGTGTTTAGGTTTGAAGCAGTGGTGCAATGGTTGGCATTGGTATGAAATGGCGCTCACTATTCACTACACTGTACTACAAGTGGTACTGACAAGTGTACAAACTGTACAGTATATGTGCATAACTCGGCACAAAGGTGTGCTCTGACGTCATCACAATGTATAAGCATTACAAGTCAAGAGAGGCACATAGTGAAGAGCAAATTCACTCGCGTCAACCCACCGTCAAAATCAACATTTTTAATGCCATGATCAAGTTTAAAAGTCAGACAATCATGGGTTAACTTTTGACTCTCAGACCTGGTAGTTATTATACTGATTGTGACAATTATAACAAAATAGTTTATAACGTAAATACTATGAATTAAAACTAATGGAATTTTTTCGGATAACAAATATTTGAATCAAATTAATTGTTTTTTAAACTAATTGAAATTTTCTAAATAAAAATATTGAATGTTTGATAATAACGTTGAAAATCTTGATGCACATCCCAAATTGCAGTTAATTTATCGAATTGGTTCGCAATTATTGTTGGAAATAGTCGCAAATTTTGAGGGTCAAAGAGTTAACCCAGGGTTAATTGCGGTGATGGCCAAAGGTATAGCTGACCCTTAGGGTCAAAGGTGAAAACATTTTGAGACTTTTAACCTTTTGCCCATCACTACATTGCATTTATTAAAGTTATGCTGCGCTCAGAGGCTATTAGCCCACTATTTGTGTCTCTCATCCATAGTTATAAAACAATTAGTTGTAACTAGTTTATTTTTAAGTTAATGTTTGACTTTGTTTTAAATTGTTTTAATTTTTTTTAATTTTTTAATTACGAATATATTGTGTTTGAAATGTTGAAACAAATAGCACTCTAAATGATAGGATGTTTATTGTTAGGCGATATTTAAATATGTTTTGTCGTCGACTACAGCATAACGTAATGCGAATTCCAGTGCTTATAATATTAGTTGAAAAGTTTGTCAAAAATAACTTTTGAGCGTTTGATTGCAAATTGCAATACAATATCCTTGGATAGAGTAAACGAAATTTAATCATTTATTTAAAAAACATTTTTTGTAAACTTTTATTTTTATTATAACTACTTTTAACTATCATTGAAATGTATGCATACATAATATGCACAGGAATTCAAACAATTCGTATCGTATTTTGTCATACATTATGATAGCAGTAGAGGAAAGGTATTCATTACTCAATCAAATTATAGTGAATGTAATATTCGCTATACGTTTGGATAGAAAAACACGATTTTCTTCATATAATTAGGTTTTGTTATGTATTAAGCGATTCACTCACTCGTCCCAAACCAATGACTTAATGACTAACTGTATAATATATAGAGATGTTGGCATCCAAGAAAACACGCTGCTATGGTTACGCCTTTAACTGTACAAAATATTGTATAGTGTGTATTAGAGCTGTTCATCAATAATGTGGGCATATATAAGAACAACTGTATAATATATAGAGATGTTGGCATCCAAGAAAACACGCTGCTATGGTTACGCCTTTAACTGTACAAAATATTGTATAGTGTGTATTAGAGCTGTTCATCAATAATGTGGGCATATATAAGAACACATGTGCAGCACTTTTGGTACAAAAACAGAAGGGTGGGCCCAGCAAATGTTTTTTAATTAATTTTTTTAAACCATCAAATTAATGTAAATTTTAACGCTGAACACGAATATGAAGTCGATTTTGGGATAAATCGAATATTTTTAAAGTTATTCGACCTTTTGTTCGAAAATTTTTTTTAGTAGGCGGTCCATGCCCGGTAGGAGTCCAGAACGAGTAGACCCCCTTTTAGAGTAGGCTGAGCGAGTGGACGCAAGCAGATGAAATGTACAGGAGGGCCCCACAAATAAGCATTTTTGTCATTTTATTTCATTGATTGTGCTAAAACGGCTACATTTAGATATAGGTAAGTTAGTGGATTATATTTCGGGTAAATTGTCATTGTTCTAATGGATCTAATTTCGATCTAGTCGGACAATCCTAGATGGCGCTAGAGGCGTAAATAATCTAAATTATATGTTCTAAGTCGAATAAGTCGAAAGGTATTTGAGATTAAAAAATCATGGATTTCATATTCGTGTTCAGCGTTAAAATTTACATAGAATTGATGTATCATATGCATAAATGACAATAAAATATTTTTGAACAAAAGGTCGAATAACTCGAAAAATATTCGATTTACCCCAAAATCGACTTCATATTTGTGTTCAGCGTTAAATATTACATTAATTTGATGGTTAAAAAAATTAATTACAAAACATTTGCTGGGCCCACCCTTCTGTTTTTGTACCGCACTTTGAGAGGGATTTTGTATTGTTTTACGTAAGTTATTATAGAGGGAGAGACCAACCACATGAACACCAATAAGTCCATAACCAATTGAGTAAATGAAATCTCAAATCATTTATACGAATCACAAATACAATAAAAACATAACAAAAACACATTTGCCTCACAATAAATCAAATTAAAAATTCTTTTTTATTCTCTCATAAGTTAAAAATAACTTTTATTTTTATTTTTCTTTCTGTTTCACTGGAAAAGCAAAACAAATAACAGAAACTGAATAATCAGTGAAATTATATAATTTCATACAAACAAACAGTTGATTCATTAGATCTCAATTGAGTGGAAAATACAGATTAGATTATAACGAGAGGAGAAATTATTAAAATAAATAATACGGATATCAATGACTATGTTTTATGTGCGAATAGCGACGGCTGCCGGTTATCAGTGGTCTGTAATGGTATACTTCCGCCCAAAACCGTTACGTGTCTGACAGTGAGTAACATAACGGCCGCATAGATATCGATCGGACCGGAAAGGAGTAGTTTAGTGCCGATGGCTGTACTCTCAGACAAACACTCAATCGGCTTGTATTCAATGGCCTTGCATTCAGTGATACCATCGCTTAACACCATTCGCAACATTCGCGGACCTCTTTTGGTCACCTCTTTCTTCGGCTTAGCTTTGGTTCGTTTGAATAGTTTTGTATTCGTATTGTCGTTGTCGTCGTCCGATGAGGACAACCCTTCGTCCTCCAGAGCGTCCGCTTCTGTCAACACTTGCGGACGACTGATGTCTTCGATTGAGTTAATCTAAAAGACAAACACAAAACTGTTTAGAAAACAGATTTTAATCACTGAATGTTAATTTGTTTAATTACTTGAACCGCATATTTGCCGTTAAGTGTTGTTTTGATGTGTTTTCTGTTGGTTTGATCCACTTTTAATTGATTGCAGTCAATGGGCAACGCATTCAATGGACTGTTTGTCTTCATATCAGTGTTTAACCACTGCTGATATGCGCTCTCATTACTGATGGCTGTGTTTGCGTTTAATTGATTTGTCACCCATTGATCGGAAACAGTGATGAACTTTGACCTCAAGAACTCTTTAATAGCCGTTAAGCGCATCATATTTCCAGAAGACATACTAAATCATAACAGAATATATAAATTAAATATTTATCCAACAAATAAAAACTAAATAAACATCTAATTTGAGAAAATCAACGATACGTTCAGAAATACGCTATAAAAACAAAATTTACAATTCAAAGTCTAAAACATACAGTATTATGCATAATAACTCTTATCGGAAACATGAAAGTATTGTGCAACAAAAATATTGTGTTAATTAAAATATTTGCTCAAATTTATGAATTTAAAAATTACTCATCACTTAAATATTTTTGATAACAATAATGATAACAATTTCATAAACAATTGTCATAAAAAAATGAATTTTCAAGTTCTGTATTTGTTTTATAAGTTTGTCTGAAAATATTGTGTATATAATTGTGAATCGGAGTAATGAATAAAATCACGATCACTACAGGAAATATGTAATAAAATTCAATAATAAAAATTCATTTCAAACAATTTAATTGTTTTAACAACACGTTTGAGTGAATAATTCATAAATTTCTTGCATAGCATAGCTCTCTCTCTCTCTCTCTCTCTCTCTGAGACGATTGAATCAATCGACTGACAGTTTGATAATAATAAGAGTGGGAAAAAGATATGTATTTTTACGGGAAATGAATGATAGATATTATTAGGACATTGACAGACATGTAAGGCTTAAAGTAAACATTGCTGTCATTCAACGCAATGGCACCGAAAATATACAATTCTTGTGATTCATTGCTGGCCAAACACCAGATGTGTAATCATATACACAGAATCCATATGCCTATAGACTCCCATACAATGGTTATCATTGAATTGCATTGTAAGACATTCATCAGGAGTTTTCCATCAGTTCTTCTCATATCTCAATCAAAAACAAAAGTCAATTATTTCCGCAAAGAATTTCTGTTCATTTGAAACCAATCGATAAAAACAAATACAACTATTATATTACGGTATTATTCATAACCAGTATATCATATACAACATACATATTAGGCATCGAAAGATAAAAATATAAATATTTAAATACAAGCGATAATTATATTTCATATTATTTTATTGGATAAAATTATTTTTACATCTCATGTGTCCTTCAATTTAAGCGAGAAATTCATTTATAAATTCCTATTAATATTCAAATATAGAGAATATTCTTATCATTAAATCCTATTTCCTTGTATGGCATGAAAGCTATACATCTGTATGTCATTCAATATTCATTATAACTGTCATACAATCGCCGTTACATACAATTTGCCCGAAAAAACAATACAAATGNAACAATACAAATGCCATACAAATAGATATTTATATTCACACAATAATTGCTGTGATTTGAATGAAATAATTAAAACAATGAAAGTTTTTGTATTCAACAATATTCACACACGTAGTGCTAAATACCAGTAGTTTCGTCACTTGTTTACAATACAGTCAACGCTAACTTTAAATAGGCGTTTATTTTTCACTCAATACGGGCTACAATTCATTGATTAAATTTTACTATTAAAAAGTGTTCATAACTTTTCACTGAACTCTTCATTAAAATGCAAACCATTTAATGCAAACATCAAATCAGTATTTAATGAATGCAAACGCAAAACATATGCTAAAATCATTTCCTAAAAACATGTATTGACTGTTAATACTTGACAGGCGTTACACAAAACTGCATAACTTCGTGATAGAGGAGAGGTGTATGAGACGAGTCATGTCTGGCATAAAAAGGCCCAAAACATTGACAATATAATCGCCGGCATTCACTCCAATACACCGGACGATCATTTGTGCCCTTTTATACACAACAGATGTTTATCACAATATTAAACGTCAAATGTGTTGGAAATAAGAAAACAATAAATATTTGTATCAATTCTTACGTCCATTCAAATCAAGCACTTTTCGTGTGACAATTAAGTAATAATTTGCTACATATTTATCGCATATGAGGCCAACCCTTCCCCCCATCCCTACCACTCGTAGCCCACAATCTGTCAGCCGTTTCTATACTCATACTAATTGTTATCTCAATTAATGTAATACTTTTATGCCTTTAATTCACTGACGCCTCAAAGTGTATATGAAATAAAACTTTCAAGCGATTAAAGTCTAGTCTAAACTCTAGACTACTGTCTGCTTATAAGTTATAACTAGATATAAATCGAGAAAATTTAATTTAAACTTTTTTATTTCACTCTTCAATTCACCACTTGTTTTGCCTCTCGTATCGTATTTTGCAGTTTTTTATACAACACGTCACTCATCTGTTGAGATCCCAAAAGCAAATCAATGGCTAAATGCGGTGGTATTGGAGAGACTAAAGACCCGGACGAAACTGTCCATCACATCTGTCACGAGGTTTGTGTCATATCATGTCATGTATTTCAATGCGAAGATCACGCCATTCATGCCTTCTCTCTCTCTCTCTCTAACTGTTATCTCGTTTTTACGATTACAACGAAATGCGCGAAAACAGGTCCGCAAAGACGTGGAGGACAAGAATGGCAAGACATTCGCCGAATTCACGCCAATCGGGTTTAGGACACAACTGGTGAATGGTGTCAATTACTTCATTAAAGTATAACTATAACAACTCATAACTGATCCCACGGGTGACTAACAAGTGTAATGAATGCAATGACAGGTGCGCGTCAGTGATGGCAAATACGTGCACATCCGTAGCCATAAGGCATTCACCGGTGAAATCAGTTTATCTAACTTTGAGGACAACAAGACTCTCGAGGAAGAGATCGCGTACTTCCACTGACAGGTCGTGTCTTCAGAGACACGCCGTGGATGGAAGTGACCACTGATTCCGTCTCTATTTTTCTTTCAGCAGATATTATATATTACTTAAGACTTATTTTCTATGACTTTTATCACGTGTTTATAACTAATTAAATACCGATTCAATTGAACCCAAAAAATGAAATTTTTAAACAAAATATTTGGACCAAAAAAATGTAAAACCACTGAAATTGTGTCAAAATTCATACTAACGTCAAGTGTTGGCAACAGTTGTGTTGATTGCGATCGCAATTAAGTCTCGCTTTTTAATCACAATTTAATCACAAAATATCGGTTCAAATGAGAGGTTAAGCGAAAAACAGACCGATTTTGCGGCAAAATTACGTGAATTGCCATAAATTACGGCCAAAAATGTTTGCATTTTTTGCATAAAAACGTGTTTTTGTTTACACTTTGAAATCGTGTCGTAATTATCGGTCACTTAATTGTCGCCAAATTAATGACAATTTAGTGATAATTAAGTGATAAGTATAGCCATTAGATCCCAATCCACGCCAGCATATCATCAGACAATGCCATCGTATGAGCTATTCTTCATCACAAAGCGTTTAAGTAAAGTAAGTGATGGTTGAGTCAAACTTATGGATCAATTGGTGGCCAAAGACTGGTCACGAGTTGTGACTCAATTGATGGCCAAATGTATAGTGAATTGAATGGTTTGTATTGCAGAAAGAGTTGGTGTCGTGTCTGAAGAGGACGGGAGAACTGATACTCAACTCTTCGGGTATACTCCGGAAGATGGAGAATATGGGCACTCGTCAGTTGCCATTCAAACTCCGGACACCTGTTCCCGGATCCAAGAGATACGCGTCCGGAAAGTATGCACTTCACCACCGCTTCCCACACTTACCACTCATCGCTCACATTATGATTGTCTCCGCAATAATGTCTTGTCTAACCAATCATATGATGTAATGCCGAAGTAGTTATAGCACTAAATTGATTGATTTAACGGGTGTTTAACTCTGTATTAACTTATAGCCCATAATTATATGGTTATTGTCTCACTTATAGTGAACTCCTATTTATAGTAAACACAGATTTTTACTATAAGTCTTTGAATGAGAGGTTAAGTTTGCAATTGTTTTTGTAGTGTTATTTTGCGGCCATAATTGCGGTGACTTTCAAAATGCGTTGATTTAGTGGTAAATGTAATAAATTGTTTTTAAATGAACTGAATGTGTATTGCATTGACCGGCAGTTTCTTCCTCTTCCACTGCGATGTCCCGCCACTCACTATATATAAGATACACGAAAGCCTACGAATGGACACCGATATCATGAAAGTGCGGTAC